AAGCCATTTAGGGACCAGAATGTCAATGATTTGGGACAGTTAGGAACACACTTGAAAGCTAGTAACACCCTAGTAACCACGGTTTGGCTGGTTACCATGGCCCAGTTATCTTCTGCTGGTAGATGTTGCAAAAAACATCTTTCTTAATTTAAAAGTTGCAATTTTTTTGGCAAACTGATTTTTCTGTGCAAGCAATACACAAATATATTCTATTTCACTGTATTACAGCAGATGTTTTATCACTTAAAAAATTTCAGTAATAAAACAAAATAAAATATAATATAAAAGTGATTAGCCTCTTTGGTGCCTTGCATGTAACAGATCAAGATAAATCGCTAAACTAGGTTTGAAACTGTTAAAATGCTAAAAACTAGCTTAATTTGGTGAATGTTGTGGAGATTTAAGTCTACATTCAGACACACTAGAGCACTTTAACGTTCTGATCCAGGCCTATCTTGTTTGGACAATGATCTCCCGTGATTGTGATGTCAGAACAGCCTCTGAGCACATGTTTGTGTATCCATTGGTCATGTGCTTTGTGGGTACTGAGAGGGGCCAAAGAGTCTTTGATGGGGTGGGTCATGGCATCTATTTATAGAAAGCACAGCTGCGGGACCCAAGCAATTTTTCTGTGTCAGGATGTTTGAGAGAGAATGTGTAGCCTATATTGTGCAATAAATATTCCATTTATAACATTACAATGCCTGAACTGATATGGGTTTGTACTGTGGTAAAAGAGCTGCAAGTGGTTCAGTCTCTCAATGGAAGCCATTTTGGATTAAATATTTAGGGACAGCAGTTATCCTTTGGCACAGAGTCATGAATGCTTCCTGCAGGGGGCTCATGTTCAGAAACTGGTTGACAGAGAGAGGTGAGAATGTGAGAGATTACAACAGCTGAGTCGTGCTGCATCACCCAATAATCAAACAGACAGGTGCTCCATTAGCCAATCAGCAGCAAGCAGAGGTCAGCATGAACATGGAACCTTCAGATCAGTCAAAACAAGGGTATTCATGGTGTTCAGCAGGGTTCCTCAAATCTTGCCCTGGAGGGCCAATGCGCTGCAGAGTTTAGCTCCAACCCTGATCAAACTTACTTACCTGTGATTTTCTAATGATCCTGAAGACATTGACTAGCACGCTCAGGTCTGTTTGACTAGGGTTAGAGCTAAACTCTGCAGGAAAGCGGATCTCGTGGGCCAGATTTGAGGATCCCTGGTGTACAGTGTGTAAACAATTAGATGGGTTTCTGTTTCATCAAAACAGCTGGTATCTTTGACTACAAACGACTAGCGCAACAAAACCCACAACTGAAACCAATCTAAAATATTAAAGGAGTAGTTCTTTCTTTCTTCAATCACAAAGAAATTAAGGTTTTTGAGGAAAACATTCCAGGACTTTTCTCTATATAATGGACTTCAATGGTGCTCAACGGGTTGAAGGTCCAAATTGCAGTTTCAATGCAGCTTCAAAGAGCTCTACACGATCCAAGCCAAGGAATAAGGGTCTTATCTTTTATTTCTGAAAAAATAAAAATGTATATACTTTTTAACCACTAATGCTCATCTTGCATTAGCTCGACCTCACACATTACATAGTCACGTTGGAAAGGTCACGCATGACATATAGGGCAGAAGTACCGACCCAGTGTTTACAAAGCGAACGTTCAAAGAATGTCAAACGACCTTTACATAAAAAGGTAAAACAGTGATGTCAGATGATTTTGAAGTTGGAGGAGAAATGACTAGCACAACAAAACCCACAACTGAAACCAATCTAAAATATTAAAGGAGTAGTTCTTTCTTTCTTCAATCACAAAGAAATTAAGGTTTTTTGAGGAAAACATTCCAGGACTTTTCTCTATATAATGGACTTCAATGGTGCTCAACGGGTTGAAGGTCCAAATTGCAGTTTCAATGCAGCTTCAAAGAGCTCTACACGATCCAAGCCAAGGAATAAGGGTCTTATCTTTTATTTCTGAAAAAATAAAAATGTATATACTTTTTAACCACTAATGCTCATCTTGCATTAGCTCGACCTCACACATTACATAGTCACGTTGGAAAGGTCACGCATGACATATAGGGCAGAAGTACCGACCCAGTGTTTACAAAGCGAACGTTCAAAGAATGTCAAACGACCTTTACATAAAAAGGTAAAACAGTGATGTCAGATGATTTTGAAGTTGGAGGAGAAAAGGAGATGGAGTTTTTCGCCCTACCCTACCTTTTTGAACCAAAGTACACAGACAAAGAGCTAACCGCGTGTGACCTTTCCAACGTTATTACGTCATGCATGATGCGCATCGTGGAGCTAGTGCAAGACGAGCATTTGTGGTTAAAAAGTATATAAATGTTTACTTTTTTACTTTGCCTGATCGTTATGCTAGATAAGACTCAGCTGGGATCGTGTAGAGCTCTTTGAAGCTGCATTGAAACTACAATTTGGAACTGTTGAGCACCATAGAGGTCCATTATATGGAGAAAAATCCTGGAATGTTTTGCTCGAAAAACTTAATATCTTTGCGACTGAAGAAAGAAAAACATGAACATCTTGGATGACATGGGGGTGAGTAAATTATCAGTACATTTTTATTCTGGAAGTGAACTAATCCTTTAACATTTCTGCAGTAAGTATACTGTGTACAGTGTGCCAATTTTCTGTATGCATGACCCTTGTAACAATGTGCAAACGTTAAAAGAAACTGAAATATCAATTTTATCAGTCTATTCATTATTTGATTTAACATTTTTATATTGAATTAAAGTGTAAATTACTATATTTATTACCGAGACGACAACTGTAAATCACTTCCAGAACAAAACATGGAGGTCATGTGACAACAGTGTAGCACACTGATATATTTGCCATTGCATAATGCATACCGTTTCACATAACCTAGTATTCAATTTCAAACACAGCCAAAGGCACAAACACAGCTGTTTTTCAGCTGCTATTTGCATGTTTGTGCTGAGGAACTGTACACATATTCAAACAAAAAGCCATCACTTTATTATGAATGGAAAAATATTAGTTGCTTAGAAATGTTTGCAGGAAATAATGCAACAGATGGTGGGTGAATTATGCATCACGTTACACACTATATAGAGCAAATTCACTTCAGACTCTCGGCTTTGTTGTCACAGCACTACCAAGATTCCATCTCATGATATCTAAAAAAAATATGCTGCTGATAGCAATATGATATCAATGATTGGTTTCTTTATAGCAACAGGTTCTTCATATTTTCCTGACAATTTTCATGACTATACCTCAGCTCTTCAAAATAATTGCAGCTTTTCCAATGGCAAGCTACATTTTTCCAAACAAACAGTGGTATAGCGTGACAAAACCACTGATGTATGTCACATTATATTGTGCATGCAGAATTACAGATAAGCGAAATTAGGCAGAAATGACACATGCACTCCTAAACTGTCCTCTATCTCTCAATTCAATTCACTTCAACAGTCAATAGTCAGAAACGGTTCAAAAACAATTCACCAATTTATTTGAGCCCTTGTTATAGAGAAATATGCAGTTAAACACTGCTGTTAATCACACAAAAAGAGTGTGTTTCTAGTTCTATTAAGTGTAAAATACAATTTTTGTTGTTGTTGAACCAAATCAAAACATTCAAGTTGCTGGGGTAAATAAAATCCTCACTACTAGAAAATGCGGTCACCCTAACCAAGACCATTATTGTTTGTGCCAGATAAGTATTGATCTGATTATTAACACATTATTCGATTGTCATATACAGTGGGGCAAAAAAGTATTTAGTCAGCCACCAATTGTGCAAGTTCTCCCACTTAAAAAGATGAGAGAGGCCTGTAATTTTCATCATAGGTATACCTCAACTATGAGAGACAAAATGAGAAAAAAAAATCCAGAAAAGCACATTGTAGGATTTTTAAAGAATTTATTTGCAAATTATGGTGGAAAATAAGTATTTGGTCAATAACAAAATTTCATCTCAATACTTTGTTATATACCCTTTGTTGGCAATGACAGACGTCAAACGTTTTCTGTAAGTCTTCACAAGGTTGTCACACACTGTTGCTGGTATTTTGGCCCATTCCTCCATCCAGATCTCCTCTAGAGCAGTAATGTTTTGAGGCTGTCGCGATAAAAATCATTATAGAAGCTAGTTATTAAAATCAACCAACTACTTTATCAAATGAATAGCTTGACCATCTAAGCTACTTTAAAATATGAGAAGCTTGGCAAGCCACAGTATCACTTCCCCATCGCTGGATACTATTACTTTTATAGTAGTATGGACTGGTTATTTGGAGAAGCATACTTTATGGTAGTAAGGATACAGCAAGCACAGGCCATAAAATTGTTCATGACAGAACTGCTGGACGTCTCGCTCTGAAAACACTGGCAGATTCCTCCCTATTGCGCACATGTGGTTCATTTTAACCCTGCAAGTGTGAACTGTCAACATTTCTGTGGCTCTGGGAGCAGAGATTTCCTGACTCAGTCATGTCAGAGATGTAAAGAATGTGTATCATACACAACATATGCTCCTGATCATGGCCAGCGAGCCGTTCGCACCGCACAGTGCTACGGACAAGGGAAAAAGTTTATACTAATGGACGAATGGCTGATCAGAGTCAGGGTTCAAGTCTTGGATAAAAACAACTGTTCTCTTTCCTCCCTCATTCTACTCATTGGTTGTATGTGTATACACAACATCACACACTTTCTGTTGTTTGATGCTTATCCAGCAGACATGATATTTTCAGTGCTTCCGTTGCAGAAAGAGACATCCAGTCAAAACATCAGACACAAGAAGCCTCAAACACGTCTTTCCTTTCATGATAATGTACAGACAAAACAAACAAAGCCAAAACCTGCCGAGCAGAAAAACACAGGTGAAAGTAAATAGCAAAATTAGATATTTAGGTTGTGATGAACCTTGAGGTTTAATGGCCAATTAGACTCAAGAATATAGCATGTACATAAACTATCAATGGATTTAAAGTTCTTTACCTGTTATTTGATTGGAGACGTCAGCTTTGGGCTCACATTTTGAAAGCTCACAATCTATGAAGGAAAAAACAAAAATAGATGAGTTAGACCATCTAAAGATAGTCTGTAAAGCACCAGCTTCATTAAAGTTGATAGTTATGATTTTTAGTTTGTGTATTATTTAAGAAAACTTTTATTATTAATAATAATAATAAAGAAATAAAATGAAAAATTAATTGAAAATAAAACAAAGTGAGTCTGTAAAATAGCAGATTCATAAATGCTAGTCTCAGTAGGGGTGGGTGATATGACCAAAATCTTATATCATGTTATGAGTCATTTTATTTCACAGTAACGATATATGTCCTGATATAGTTATTTGTACTTTAAATAAGGTCTTTATATCATCAACATTTTTGATACCATAAAAAATTCATAATTTTTGTTCGCCAGTTTCAATATCACAAAAACTAATACTAGCCAAAATGAAAAACAAAACAAATAAATAAAACTCAAGCTCACTGAAGACAAGTAAACAGTCAGTGGTTAAATAAGAATAAGAAACTAATTACAAGCAATAGGACAAAAAAACTACAGTAGAACAAATAAATAAGAAATGCTACATACATTGTATAAAGTAATCAATTGTATAAAATAAACTGCATACTCTTCACTGTGTACATTAAATATATTTCTTATTAAAGTTACAAAACTGATTTAGTCAAGAGCAGTGGGAGATTTTCTCTCTTTTGTTGTTTAATTAACATACACTGCTGTCACTTTAAGAGCTGCCCAGATCCAATATACTGTTACACGTGTTTTCTTTCTCAGCTGTTTGCTTTCACTTAAGACCTAAATTACTGTGATTACGAGGATACTTGCAAAGACGGGAATTTTGACACATAAAAGTGTGTGTACTTAACTGTTCAAGGCATATAAAGTGGCAAAAATATCTCCGTTCAATACTCCTGCGCTCTATGAGCACCGTCTTCCCATGAGTGAGCCTCTCTTACAGGGCTCAGAAACAGTCTCTCAGACAGCGCGCACATATAGCGAAATGAGTTCTCTTTCGCTGCTGATTGCATTTCAAAGACTTAAAATCACTTGTTTTTAAACCGCAATGCTTAAAAATGCATGCAAAAGATACGTTTTCGTGACCACGTAGCAAAGCAACGTCATAACCGCGATAGAGACGATAGTCCAAAATCTCTACCGTTTGACAAATTTCTACCGGTTAATCGTGTCTACAGGTATATTGCCCACCCCTACTCATAAGGTTCACTTTTATGATTTTTTTATTTAAAAAAACAAAAAACAACATAAACAACATAATAAAATAAAAATGTTAAATACTATTACAAATATAAAAAATGCTGCCTTCTTAGAGGAAACATTTAAGCCAAATTCTAAGGCAGCACCGTATGTAACCTTTTGCAGATTAGGCAATACCAGAAGGCATTGCAGTGAGATTAGTGAAAAAATTAATTCAAGATGGTGAAGCAAGAGAAATGCTGATTATGAACTTATGTCATTCATTATTAAAATAGCAATAAAATAATGTAATGCAATTTTAAAAATATATATTGTACCCAATACTTAAGAGGGTGTTGTGTCATTGACATCATTAGCTTAGCAACATGCTAAGAACAAACTCTCACTTGAGGTTTCATGATAGTTTGCTGATGATGCCATAGAAGTCAGCTGCCTATGTAAATTATTGACTAACACAGCTTTTATTAGTCAGCATTCAATTTCAATGCTGGCTAAAGCCTTTTAAGATCTCCAGTGCTTGTGGTGCCCAGGGATGTTTTTTTTTAATTCTCTCACAAACAGATAACAGATAAGAAGGACATTTGACTAACATCAGTTTTAACTCCCATGTGCTTCACTTCTCCTTTACTTGCGAATTAACACCACACCCTCTGGAAACATTAAAACTGTCTTTGCTTCACGTTGACCTGCCCCAGTGACCCTAAAATGTGCTGATGTTGGCATGGAGGTTAAGCTTTGAGTCTGGGCACCAGTCAGTGGACCAATACAGCAGAGGTGCTGACCTCTATATCACGCATAATCTGCCTGACAGATGGGAATCATGTGAGCTTCTGTTTTATAAGGATGCAAAAAGCAGAGTTACTGGCACATGTTGCATGTAATCACATGCTTACGGGCGAAATATGGAGCAAGTGAGGGCAGGATGAAAGAGGAGCGTGTGCAAAAAGATTAAAAAGCAAAAGGTTGTACTTTCTTCATGCCAGGTTTGGTTTTCTTAGCAGGACCAGCCATTTATTGCTGCTTACATCACAGCTTAAAAGTGAATTCATGCAGCTCGCAAATATCACAAGAGAAAAGTCAAGTTATAATTTTGTTAATAAAAATTACATGCTGAAAAATAATAAAAATAAATAAAAATTGGATTTATCATGGATAAATCATTTCTAATATAATAATTAAGATGCATTTATAAAGAATACTGAATGAATATCCATTTCATATTCTATAAATGAAAGCTATAACTGGTCCATGATTTTGTACTTCACAAGCCATCCGGTTAGCCGACAGCCTTTGCATACCACTAGCTGATTTGCCTAGTAGCTTAACTACCACTGCTACAATATGATAACTAAACTATTTTGACTCTCTAGTAGGGCTGGACGATATGGCCAAAATTTATATCACGATATATTTCTTAATTCCGGTCGATACGATATAATTCCGATATCGATATGAACACTATTAAAAAAGTCTCAAAAACGGCCACAACAGATGTCTGTACCTACAAACTTATGAAAAATTAATTTGCCAACTCTATGAAACCTACTCCTATAAAACTATATAATATTTTAGGGAAAAAAATGGCGCAAATAAATAAATGTTCACCTTTTATTGGTATTTAGCCTTCATACAAACAAGAAATGTGAAATCACTGTTAAATAAATCTCAGACTCTCCTTATTAATATTAATATTTTTTACTTCAAACTATAATAGAGCAACAACAGAAGCATATGGCTGGAAATGGGTTTATTATAGAAAATGCAAACTGCTTGTCTGCCAGCAGGAGGCGCTGTGAGAGCGGTGGAACTAACGGGTTCTCCAGTAACGGCTGTAACCAAAGCAGCTCCGCTCATGAACGCTACTTTATCAGATAAAAATGCCATCTAAACTATTCTGAAGACAGTCGGTTGCCTTCAGAGATACATTCATATAAAACAGCCGCGACGCGTTTTGATTTTGAAACGTGCAGTGCTCATGTTTATTCAACGAAGTCACAAATAAATCAATGTATGGGAAACACTGGTAATGTATATCGAAATATCGGAAATGTGTTTAAAAATCATATCACCGTTATTGAAAAAAATTATATCGCGATACATATTGATATTGAATTATTGTCCAGCCCTACTCTCTAGATTGTAATAACGTGATATGTTTTGGAACAGGCATTACAAATGGCCACCTGACAAGCAGCTATTGAACGATCACATTTATTGTGTAATTAATGAATGTAAACAAGTTTAAAAATAGGACGGCAAACTTCACTACACTTAAAGGAGTCATATGATGTTGCTAAAAATAACATTATTTTGTGTATTTGGTGTAATGAAATGTGTTTATGCAGTTTAAGGTTCAAAAAACACATTATTTTCCACATACTGTACATTATTGTTTCTCCTCTATGCCCTGCCTTTCTGAAACGCGTCGATTTTTACAAAGCTCATCAGTCTGAAAAGCGAGGTGTGCTCTGATTGGTCAGCTATCCAGTGCGTTGTGATTGGCCGAATACCTCAAGCGTGTGACGGAAACGTTACGCCACTTACCATATTGTGATGATGCCCTGTCCAGCCGGAGCGAAGAGACAAAAACATTAAAAGCCATTATAAACGAGGCATGTGTTGCATTCAGTGGGGAAATAATTACGGATTATAATGACTGTCTTTTTCCGCGTTGCATTGCATCTTGCCGCATAAACATAAAACCATGTCTGCATTTGTGATCGGAGAAATGACAAACAACAAACGCTCTATTTTAGTAGTATTTACGTAATATAGTATTGATTAATATTTTGAATTAGTTTTTATATTTTCAGGTTTCATTTCTAACATTTCTAATTTTCATTTAGGTTTCTCATCTAATATTTTTTATATCAATGGAAAACAGGTATAGTTTTAATTTTAGTTAATGAATAACAACACCATCAAAATATTGGTTTATTTTTAGTTTATATGCAGCCAATCAGACATTTTTTTTTATTATTTAATTTTTTTTAAAACCCAATTATTCAATACCTGGATAAATGTAATATTTGATACAGCTGGTTCTCTGTGGTTCAACTTCAACACCACACTCAAAGACGGGAACTCAATCACACGACTGCAGGCCATGTCACGTGACAAGAACAACATACCACAAATTAACACTGGCTGCAATTACATGCAACGTTAGACAGAGGACATATGACTTCCCAGTACATTTCTCAGCAGGTATGTTAATGCTCTTCCTGGAAGAGTCTTTGTGTGTTGTGTGTTGATCTGTGCTGTAGGTGTGGTGTGCTGGGCTGGCTGGCAGGTTGGGGGAGGGAAAAGCAAGAGACTTGCTGACAGAAAAGGGTCTCTCAAATCAGACACAGGATCTGAGGCACAGTACAGTACACCCACTCTCTCTTCCTCTCAGATCCTCTTTCTATATCAGAAACACCACAACATCCCATCTGCATCTCTCTGATGTCACAGAGAGTGGTGCTGTGAGACAATGAGCTGATAAAAGTGTTATGTAAAGGCCACACACATATTATATGGCACTGGCATAGTCATTAGGGGTGCTCCGATCAGGATTTTTGAGGCCGATCACCGATCACCGAAAGCAGTATCTGCCGATACGATCACCGATACCGATATTTTTAAAGCCTTCTTTTTATCATGTAGAATTATTTATAGTGATGATCCAATCAAGATTTTTAGACATTTATTCAGGGCCTGAATTTCATTTTTGAAAATGAATTCCCCTCTTAGGTGACTCTTGTAAGAAAAAAAATTAAATTAAAAAATATATATTTATCTCAACTAAATGTTTGATCATG